ATGTTTATATTCAAGAGATTTTTGCCTATGTTGTCTTCTAAGAGTTTTATGGTTTCATGACTTACATTCAAGTCTTTGATCCATTTAGAATTTACTTTTGTGTGTGGGGTTAGACAATAATCCAGTTTCATTCTCTTGCATGTAGCTTCCAGTTTTGCCGACACCAGCTGCTGAAGAGGCTGTCATTTCCCCAGAGCTCTCTAATTTTCTGCAGTCAGGTCTTCCCCAGTTGTGTTAGATTTATTCCTAGAAACCATATAATTTTGGTTGGTATCCTATAGGTTTATTGTTGTATAACACAGCATACATCCAGACAAGTGTATACAGCAAAATATATATTTAAAGTTTCGTCACAAAGTGAGCACCCCGTTGCCCACCATCCAGGTCAAGAATCAGGGTGTGGTCAGAGTCCCAGAAGCCCCCAGTGCCCCTCCTACCCACCTGCTTCTCCCTCCAGCTCTTACCCACTACAGGGGATCACCACCCAGTTTTCAGGATAATAACTACCTTGTTTTCTTCATACTTTAATCACTTACTTTACAACCCTAACCAGTCTGGGTTTTTTTTTTTTTTTATGCTGTAGCTTTCATGTTTATTTTCAAAGACACTTTCATTGAAGCATTGTTTACATATCACAAAACTTACTCCTTTTAAGTGGATGTTTTAACGATTTTTAGTCAATCTGCAGGGTTGTACAGACATCACTACAATTCTGGCCTAGAATATTTCCATCAGCCCAGAAAGATGTCCTGCTCACTTTCAGTGAATCTGTTTCCACACCTTCCTCAGACAACCACTTAGCCTCTGTCTGTCTCTATAGGTTCGCCTTTTCAAAAAACATTTCATGTAAGTGGAATCTTCTGCAGTTTTTAGTGTCCAGCTTCTCTCACTTAGTGTAATGTCTCTGAGGGTCACCTGTGCTGCAGGATGCACATCACGTTGGTGACTTTCTTCCTATCGCTAAGTAGTATTCCAGCAAATGGGTTAAAGACATCTCGTTTACTTACCATTTAAGGGACCTTTGGATTATCTCCACTTTTTTGGCTATTAAGTATAAACGATGCAAGGAACATTTGCCAAAATTTTCTTTGTGTGGATGTACATTTTCATTTATCTTGAATAAATACCAAGGAGTGGAATGGCTGAATCATATGAAAAGATTTTTGTGTAATTTTTTAAGAAACCACCATACTGCTTTCTGAAGTGACTGCACCACTTTCATTCCCCCAGCAGTTGTGTGTGGGGAATATTTTTCTCCACAACCTCTCGGACACTTGCTACCAACAACCTTTTAAATCGTAGCATCCTAGTGAGTGGTTTTAATATGCATTTCCCTAATAACTAATGGCGTTGAGCATTTTTGTCCACATGCTTATCAGCCATTCATATTATTTGGGTCCTTTGTCCTACTACTGAGTTGATTATTGAGTCGTGGGAGGTCTTTGTATATTTTGGTCATAAGTCTTTTATCAGATACATGATTCACAAATATTTTCTCTCAGTCTGTAGGCTGTTTTTTTTTGATTTTCATAATAAAAAATGTCTTTTGAAGTGCAAAAGTTTTTCATTTCTATGACATCAAATGTATACGTTTTTTTCTTGAATGCACCATGCCTTTGCTGTTGTATCTGAGAACTCGATTAATTTAGAATCCTAAGGATTATTTTTTTCTATGCTTTCTTCTAAATGGTTGCATGGTGTTAGCTCTTACATTTAGGTCTATGAACCATTGTGTACCAGTTTTGTGTACAATGTAAGGTGAGGGTCTAAAGTAATCTTTTTGCATGTGGAAATTAATTGTCCAGCGCCTCTGCTGAAATAACTATCCTGTCCCCGTTGAATTGCCCGTGTCGGTTAGGATTCAGGGCTAGACGTGTATTAAGGGTTTTATTATAAAGAATCAGCTTATGAGATTGCAGGGTCTGACAAGGCCCAGACTCTTAGGGTAGGCGGTCAGCAAGGGCAGGCTGGAACTCTCCTGCCAAGAGCTTTCTTTCAGGGAAGCGGCTGCTGTGCTCTTGCAGCCTCTCAACAGATGGAATCAGGCCTGCCCAGGTCGGGTAGGATGATTTCCT